CCCCAAAACCCCAAAACCCCAAAACCCCATTATTAATTCATATAATTGAATTTATTTCATATGATTCTTGACAACACTTCGAGTTTAGGTAAGACAATAGAAAGCAAAGCTTTTACTTGGAGTAATTTATAATTCCTGGGCTTTGAGTCAAGTTTGAATCACAATATAGGCTCTACGAAAATGCCTAGGAAGAGTTACGACAAATATGGAAATTCCATATTAGACTTTACCAGTCATTTATATCCTAATTATTTACCAGCTGACAAAGGCGGCAGATACTTCCACAACATGAGCTTCAACCTGCGTAAGCTGCAAAATCGGATAGAATTTATTCATTTAGAATACAAAAATCACAAAATGATGAAAAACTTGAGAGAAGATCAGAAAGAAAAGAAGCCAAGGCACTTATCTTCAAGGCAAAACGGTAACTTTCTGTTCATTATTTTTAGACGAAACTATTCAAAGATCATTTAGACTCCCTTCAAAGCTAAAAGCAGGTTCTGAATATTTCAATGGTACTCTTTAAATAATATTTTATCTAGATCTGAGATTATCAACAGGAGGAAATGAAGGGCATAGCTCCATTATTCTTGGAGAAGGAGTCATTGGATTTGATCAGCCCAGTGCAGTTGTAACATCTCATCTTGAGCTCAAATAATTGTACTATTTCTTTTAATGGCAATAGATACTAAGCCAAACCTAAAAATGTACCAAAAGAGTACAGATTGCTTTTAAAATTTTAGAAATAAAACAGGGAAAAGCCAAGATTTCAACAAAGGTATGTTAACTATTTATTAACATAATAGATGTTCTCTCAGAGGACTCATTCCCAACCAAAGACTTCAACTGGTCTCAGAATGATTAAGAGTAATTTCAAGCTTCATTCCTAGAAATTCCAAACAAATGGCTGCCAGAGAATTACAGGCTTTACAAGTCAAGAAGAAATACTGTATATAGTTTAGTGATAACGAAAATAGACTACTACAAAGAACTCTAATAAAAGCAAGGCTATTATTAGCAACAGAATAAGAATTCAGTCTTCAGAAGAGGAAGCCAATGTTATCAGACCGATGGTGAGTCATCACAGTCAAGTTTTAGATTAAACTTTTCACCAAGAACTTAAATTCAAATCGTGAAGTTGTTAGAGAAAGGAGTATTTTTAGGAATGACCTTTAGTAAAGCAGAGATATCATAAGGAAAGAAAGACACAGTCCTCTCAGCTAAGCTACTACCAAGTTGGATTTAATCAAAGGACTACAACGGTTCATTCTAAATAGCAAAGAAAGTAAGTATACATGTAAACACTTAGGGCCAAACCATCCTAATATGATGCTTAAAATATTTCCAAATGAAGGAAAAACAGAGAAGATAGTGAATCTTAATGACATATCTCCTCTTCAAGGAAGGTCATTAAATAACTCTATCTTTGAATTTCCAGAAGAAGGTACTTGATTAATAATCTTTAGTTGATAAAAAGCCATCAATTCCTTTGAAACAAGAGATTTCATTGAACAAATCAATAATGCTGAAGATTTTATCAAACAGGAAGAAAAGCAATCTTGATAACCTGAAAAGTTCTCTCTCAAGTAGAAGAGCTGAGTTTAGTGTTCAAACAAAACATAAGCCAAGGATGGTGTCTATAGATCAACCCAAAATTAATGGTAAAAAGTGCTTAATTTTTTAGAGCCTAACAGAAAATCAATTCCTTTCAGTACTTTAAGTAGGGTATACACTTATTTTAATAGAGATTAATGGTGAGAACAAGAGTAAATGAAACTCGACACTCCAATCTCCTTCACAAGACTCTAATTATCCTCTAAAACCTCAATTTAAGCAAGAAAATTCCATTCTGGGTGGATCCAGAACAGGAAGGAACAAAGTCTCTTCTTTAGAGGTAGAGAATAGCATTAGAAAGCAAAAGAGAAACTTTTATATTGGAAGGAACAGCAATCATACCAAAATTGACAAAGAATTCTGCAAAAGACTAGCCGACAGTAAATACTAAAACTCTAGTAGAACCAAATAAATAGGATGTGAGCTATTTTAAAAATTCAATCGAGTCCAGTGCCTGAGGGGTTTTGGGGTTTTGGGGTTTTGGGGTTTTGGGG